TGCAGAATAATTTTCTCTACTTTGCATAATAATAAAAGGAGAGTGATAAATTATATAATAAGTTGAAAGCAATATAAAATATTTTGAGTGGCTGAGGGTATGGCTCAGTGGTAAAGTATTTGCCTATCATGAACAAAGCCCTAGACACCACAGGAACATTTTTAAAAAGACATTTTGAAACAAACTTTCACCTAAAATTCAGACTGTATTATTGACCATAAATTCATTTAGAACTGTACCTGAAACAAAATGAGTAAATAAATTAATGCCTAAGTCAAAGCAAGTTAGAAATTTTGTGGGATCTTGACTGCCAAGAGAAGAAAGTTGGTTTTTATTCAGAAGACAAATAGATAAATTTTGAAAGTTTTGGGGTAAAAATAGAAAGATACAAAATACATATATTTAGCCCTCAAAGAGTTTATGATTCACAGATAAACTTAGCCAAACTATATCTTAAAAAGAAAAACTGATGGGTTGGGGGTGTAGCTCAGTAGAAGAGCCCTTGCCTAGCATGTGCAAAGCACTGGGTTTGATCCCCAGCCTGAGGGGTGGGGAGGACCTGAAATAAATTACCATATCCTAAACACCGAACGATTGATGGAAAACAAGCCATGCTACAGGAATTTGGCTAAGGAAGTGTGTGCTGAGATAGCTGGAGGGAAGATAAAATTGAAAAAAAAAACACAGGACATACAGATGTGGAGAGAAGACAGGAAGGAAGTATCTTCAACATTGCTAACAAAGGCACAGAGGCAAAATATGTCTGTGATGAACCCAGAGTGCAAGGAATAGATTACTTCAGTCCAAACCTCAAAATAAATACAAAGATGTTTTACAGTAATTTATCACTTATTTCATTATAAAGGGATAGAAATGCTTGCCTCAGAGGTCAAAGTTTAAAAATATATTACAAGTGTAAAATCGTAATAGTATGTCCATAACATTATGGATTAAATTGTATTCTAGATCCTGGAAAATAAATTCTAATATTAATTATTACTTTGCTTTCTCTTCATTTTCCACAGAGTTGCAACGCCATTTGGAGGATTTGAAAAAGCATCAAAAATGGTTAAATTCAAAGTTCCAGATTTTGAGCTGCTACTGCTAACAGATCCCAGGTTCATGGCCTTTGCCAATCCTCTTTCTGGAAGACGGTCCTTTAATAGGACTCCTAAAGGATGGATATCTGAGAATATTCCTATAGTGATAACAACGAAACCTACAGAGGACACTACTGTCCCAGAAACTGAAGACCTGTGAGAGGAAAGTTGTATATCACAAAACCTCTGAAATATAAATGTTGCTATTTTATTACTCTACATACTGGTAAAGCCACTTACATTCTTCATTAATAGTTATAACTTGATAGCATGTAAGTAATTTTCCTTTTATTGCCTTTAATTTAAATCTCAGATCAAATACTAACGGAAAATTAAAAATCATATTTTAAAAAACTTTTAGCTTACTTGTTTTCATTTATAATTTTATCTGCACCTGGTTGAAGCAATCCAGCCTTTTCATGATAAAATTCACTTGGAAAAGTAACTGATACAAAAGTTTTCATCTTTCTTTCATTTAAAATGCATCATTCCAGATTCTTCTTCACATGGAATCTAGAAGGAAAATACAGTGTAAGGTATGCAGACTCAGTCATCATTTTATGGAAGGAACGCAAGTTACAGAAGTTGATGTATAAATGTCATTCATGGAGAAAAGGGTTGGATACTTCCTTTCTAGTTACCATGATAAAAATATTATGTCTGGATGAAGACATTTTATTAGTCTTTCTTAAAATTCTGAACACTGTATAATTTTTACATGCTTTGAATTACTAGGTAATTATTCTGGGTGACATTCCCCAGAGTTCAGTTGGGTTATTCCATTCATCAGTATAAGTAAAGAGAGAGCCAGTTACTGAAAGCATCTCATACTACTGCAGTTTTAATGAGCAGTGTGCACTCAGAATTCAAGTTTCACATTTTCCAGTGCATTGTGTGGATTAGGTTCAACTTTACCAATGCACTTTTAGAAAAGTAAGGACATATAAGACACACATTAATTTATATAGTAAATATATGTCTACATGAGAAAGGAAGAGAGAGTGTTAAATTTGCATTAGCTGAGTGTTTCATTGCTGAATATTTAAATTCTATTGAAATCCTCAATGACTAGGAAGTTATATGCTATAAAATGCAAGCAGAAAAGAGATCAGGAAAGCACGAAAGGATCTGAAAATGATGTGGCTTATATCTATCACCAGATACCTGGATATGTGGTATAAATATGTTAGTATAAAAGACTAACATGACTGGAAAAGCATATAATATGGAACTTGCACAGTACCAGTATCAATTCCTCCTATATTAATTCAATTAAGAGTCCAGTGACAGCTACTGATAGCAAACAAGAAATGTATCATCCAGAAAACAGTGCCTGCCAGATTAAGTTTAGGAGATAGAAAGACGCAGAGTAAATAGTAATAAAAATGTCAAGCAGCAGAATTACTGTACATATGTACAAAAGAACTATGTGTGTAAGTGTAGGAATTCTTGATTGTTTTAATCATCCTCCGAGCTTTTAAGTAGAGAATTTTTTTAACTGTTACGAAGAATTCTCCAGTTGGAAAGTACCCAAAGTTCTGGATTGTATACATACTCTCTTATAGCGTGCATCAACAATGGCCCCCAGAGACCATGCACTATAGACTTGGTTGGCAATCTGTGGTGGCACTATGGGAAATCATGAAGTATCTGGGAGGTAGGGGCCTCATGGAAGAGTGAAGTCCCTGGGATCAGGACTGATAGGTTTTTCTGGCACAGACAGAAATAAAACAAAATAAAAATGCCTTTATTGCAGGCACTGAGAAGATCACAGTAGAAGGAGGGACGTGGGGCTTCTGAGGGCCTGGCCTGGGGACAAAAGCTAAATAGGGCAAAGTTGGAGGCAGGGTTTAGGGTGTGGACTGCCTGAGGTGGGAGAGCGGCATTGGGTGCAAGTATGGGAAAAGGAAAAAGGATATTACAAAACGAGAAGTAGGAAGTTATAGTTTGACTCGGAGGAAGAAGGATGGGGCTTAACACATGGCCTTCAGTGGGCAGCGCCGTATTGGCTTGGGCCATATTGGGTCCATGCCATGGTGACTCAGCAGGCATATTAGTGAGGCAAGAAACCCATCAAGGACTTTGAAGGGGATGCTGGGACTCAGCCCCTCCTCTTCTCTATCTTTGACTTCTGGCACTCAGAGTGGGCCTCAGTTTTATTTTACCACATGCTCCCTAGCATCCTGTTCTCCTCACCACAGACCCAAAGCAAGGGGGCCAAGCAAACATGGACTGAAACTCCTGAAACTGAGAGCTAAAACAAATCTTTCCTCCTTTCAAATTTATTGTCTTGGGTATTTTGTCACAGTCATGGAAAACTGACTAACACATTACCATTGTAGAGAGTTTAAATCATTTAAAATATGTTCTTAAGATATTTTATTTTTTAGATTTCTTAATTTTATTTCTAAGTTATGGGCATATGTGATAAACTCTATTTCTGAGGCTTTCACTCATGCTGTCTTTTTGCTCATTTTAAATGTAAAATAATTAGTCATATCCTAAGTATACATTCTGATGAACTAGTTTAGTTCTTTATTAGCATCATAAATTGAGTCATTATTTTTAATAAAATTAAAATTTTATTGCATTATTGCACTATCTCCAAATAGTTCATTTATATCACTTGCTCAACCACTAGAAAGGGGCCAGCAATTAAATATGTTAGCCATAGTACTCCTCAGTATCATAAAAGAGTATTTCAAAAGGTAGATCTTCAGTGATTTTTTTTTAACACTGGAGAGAAAATGAAGAAATAACCTTCTGTTCAGTATCACATTTCTTCCTTTCCTGGAAATGTCTTTAATTCTTGTTCAGCTGACACTTTAGAGATGCCAGAATTTCATTTGGTTGCAGTTAAGAATTTGAAAGGAATTTGAATGAGTTTTCCACTGCTCTGTAAAAGAGCTAGAACTTTCAAAGTCAGAAGAAATGTAATAGTCTTTTTAGAACAGCAGAAAGATTGATTTTTTTTTTCCAACTGGATTTATATACATGGGCTACAAAAAAAAGAGAGAAAGAATATTTTTAAAAGCAAATGAATGAAAATAACATTTGTTGATGGGCTATTAAATGTAAGGCACTACTCACTGCTTCAGAAAGGCAATTATATACATATTAACTTCATAATTATAATTATCTTGGGAGAAAAGTATAATTGCAACTTTGCATAAGAAAATTTAGCCTCTGAGAACTAATGTGACTTGAAATCAACCTTGCTCATTAGGGAAAAATTTGTGCATCTGGCTCTAAAACATGTAATCTACAAATTCATGGTTACAATTTCTCTTTCAAAACTATTTTATCACTTTAAGATAAATAATTATATTTAGACAAATATTCATTTTTATTATTTGAGTACATTTAAGTAAATTATTTTAGTACATTTAGATAACTAATTTGAAGTATCCATTATCTTAATTTTGGGCAAATACAAGTGAATGTATTTAAAGCAAATGATTTTTACTTTAAGTGAAATAAGTATAAAGAGTTGAGCTATCAGATTGAGCTGAAAGTGAACTAAATAAAACAAGCAACATGCATATGTTTATTTTGAAATTAGATAAACATAAAAGTACACTCTGATATAACCTACTAATTTTTGTTTGACATATTGTACAGTCTATTGATCTATGTAATCTTCCTTTTTTTCCCTCTATAAGGGAAAAAGAACAGAATAGAAAGACATTCATGCCAGTAATAACCATAGGCTGAAAGAAATTATCTTGTGTAATAACATACCAAACCATTCCTTCAAATGAAAAACTTCAGAGGAAACTTTCTTGATTCCATCATACTGTTCAACAGACTTTTGAGTCATGAAATTATATTTCCTACTTGAAGCTGATTTCCTCTTATCTCCTTGGTAAAGCTGATGATCAGCTAACTGTTCTCTGTGTAATAATTAGAGCTGCATTAATAACTAGATGGTGTATCAAAAAGAGTTTCTTTAGCTTTCACCCATCTCCACTTCCTTTAATGATTTCTCAAAGTTAATTCTTTTCCATTTCTTAAATCAATGTTTGAAATAATTAAAATAATTACTAGTCATTACAGAAGTAAGCCAATTACAGACAATTTTTAGTCAAAGTGAACATTTGTGGCATTCATTTAAAATTCTATGTTTTGTGTGCTGGGCAAGGTGGCACACGCCTATAATCTCAGCACTTGGGATGCTGAGGCAGGAAGATCACTGTGAGTTCGATGCCAGCCTGGGTGACATAGTGAGTTCAAGACCAGCCTGAACTACACAGTAAGACCCTGTCTGTCTCAAAAAATTTTTTTAAAAATATTTTCTAAATAATCTCAGTTACAAATATTTTAGCAGTTTGGAAGTGAAGTCAGTTATTCTTACAAAGTGTAATATGGAGCAAAATGTCCAGTAGTGAGTATGAAAAGAACATCCTGAACTTTTCAGCTCAGGGCACAGCTGTACCAGCAGCTTATTAATTCTGGAATTTCCTCACTCTGCTGCTTATGCAAGATAAAACTTACATGACATCACTGCAGTTTTTCAGCCACAACTGCTCCTTATTAAGCTTAGGGAAATTATTGCATTGCATACCCCTTTTCTTATGAAAACTACTTTTACCCTCCACATGCACTGTTCTGTAGGAAGAAAGGCAATTCACTTTCTATGAAAGGTGGAACAGTGCCAAGCTTTTGCCAAAAGAACAAGCAAGGGGAGTCCATTCCAAACTTACTAACCTCAGCACTTTGCAAATATTTATAATAAAGTTTTTAAAAGATTGCAATGTCTTTAAAAAGCTAAATCTCAAGACTAAGAAGAAGCAAAATTGTGTGAGGCTCAAAACAATGGCTTTAAAACAAAATTGTGTGAGGCTCAAAATCAATGGCTCAAAACAAAATGCTGTTAGATTTTTTTAAAAAGTGTTTATTCCTATTTAAATTCCTTAAATTCACAGGAGGGATTAGATTTTAACCCCTCCTGTTTAAAAGCATCACCTGGTTCCTCCACATAATGTGATTCTGCTAGGAGGATTTGATGCTTGTGAACAAAGAAAGAGAGAGATAAAAGAGCTAATTCTAAGAGTTGATAGCTCAGATCCAAATAAGAATGTGCTTATTATTCTGTATTGTGCAATATTTTGAAATCCACTGCAAGAGCAACTTAGGCAATAGAGACATTTCAGGAAATAGGATCGGAAAAAAACAGAAGGAAAAAAGATAAATTCAAAGTAAATCCCCATTTTAAAATTGTGGGTTCAAGAAGTAGTACAGAAATTGCTAGCTCACTAGCAAAATAAATCTAAGTATATAAATGTAAAAGAATGAAGTAGGTTGAAAGGAAATACAAAGTAAGCCTTAGAGCTAATTATTTCATTTTATGGTTT